GCTCTGCTTTAATCTTTAGCTCAGCTGTAATGGCTTTTCTCGCATCTCCGGCAGGAAACTTTTCCTCAAAAGTAGAACAGTTTCTTGTAAAATGTCTCTCCATGTTCAATTTGTTTTGAAGAAAAAAATCGCCAGCTTCTTGTTCACATTTTCCCGTTCCACCTTAAATTAATGGAATGCAACAATATGATGTTCGAATGTTTCTCATTGCAGATTAAACGTATCAGGAAACCAGCTGGAGTGATTATAAATGCAAATAAGTCCATTAATCTCTGAATTATCTGTGTTCGTCTTAAATCTTTCTCTTTAAAAAAGGTGGTTCTTCAAGGGTTTTTTAGTAAAAACATCGGTTCTATATAGAACCACGAACACTCAAAGAACCCTTTGCATGATTAAAGCGTTCTTTGTATCATGAAAGCATTCTTTAGATTGATGGAGAATGTGCTGTAGATGGTTTTATATAGAACCTTTTTCAATAAGGTTCTACACTGCACCCAAAAGGGGCCTTTCTATTGTCACAAGCTTGACATTGTAACGATAGAAGAACCCTTTCTGGAACCATTGACAACAAATTCTCCATCCATTAAATAAAGAACCATTTAATGATGCAAAGAACACTGTGATCATATAAAGGGTTCTTTGAGTGTTCATGGTTCTATATAGAACTGATGTTTTTACTAAAAAACCCTTGAAGAACCATTTTCTTTACAAAAGAACCCTTGAAGAAAGACTTTTAAGAGTGTAGGGTTCTATATAGAACCTTTTTCAATAAGGTTCTACACTGCACCCAAAAGGGGCCTTTCTATTGTCACAAGCTTGACATTGTAACGATAGAAGAACCCTTTCTGGAACCATTGACAACAAATTCTCCATCCATTAAATAAAGAACCATTTAATGATACAAAGAACACTGTGATCATATAAAGGGTTCTTTGAGTGTTCATGGTTCTATATAGAACTGATGTTTTTACTAAAAAACCCTTGAAGAACCATTTTCTTTACAAAAGAACCCTTGAAGAAAGACTTTTAAGAGTGTAGGGTTCTATATAGAACTTTTTTCAACAGGGTTCTATATAGCACCAAAAAGGGGCCTTTCTACTGTCACAAGCTTGATACGTAATAAAAGAAGAACCATTTTTGGTGCTATATAAAACCATTTTCAATTTTATAGAACCATATGATGATGCAAAGAACCCCGTAATCATACAAAGGGTTTTGTGAGTGTTCTTGGTTCTATACAGAACCATTTTCTTTACTAAAACTCTTGAAGAACCATTTGTGTATAGTTCTTTATAGAACCTTTTTCAAAAGCATTCTATGTCGCACCCAAAAGGGGCCTTTCTATTGTTACAAGCTTGACATTGTAACAACAGAAGAACCATTTTGGGTGCTATAAATAACCATTTTAAAAAGGTTCTATAAAGAATACATACAACACATTCTCCATCAATTTGAAGAACCATTTAATGATGCAAAGAACCCTGTAACCATACAAAGGGTTCTTTGAGTGCTCATGGTTCTATATTGGACTATTTTCCTCACTAATGAACCCTTAAAGAACTTTTTTAAGAGTGTATCTTTCTATATAGAACCTTTTTTGAAAAAGGGTTCTCTATAGCACCAGAAAGGGTTCTTCTATTGTGTATGACGTCAAGCTTGTAACAACAGAAGAACCCTTTTTGTTGCTATATATAACCATATACAACACATTCTCCATCAAGAACCATTTCACCATGCAGGCATGCAAATGGTTTTTGAGTGTTCATGGTTCTCTATAGAACTATTATCTTTACTAAAGAACCCATGACTCTTTTTAAGTGTCTAGGCGTTCCATGTTAGCAGAGAACATTCTGGAAGTTTTCATAAACTGCTAAAAAGGAATGTCCGCCATTTCGTTAGCTGATCAAGCACAACGTCCTCGTGGGAAACTCTGAAATTCAGAGGTTTATGAGTTTAAAAGGACAGTTTGATAGTTCTAAACATTTTAAATGGGTTCTGACTGAAAACAGGACGATCTTTGTTCAACGGTACCATTTATTGACTTGTTATTAAATGCAAAAGAAAGAAAACTCGTATGCTGTAAAGCTAAAGCACAGAAAAGTGTCTTCACCTCCTCCACCGAGTCCAGCAACAGCTCCAAAAAATAAAACCCTGCCAAAAGATCAAACTACATAACATAAAATATATCCCTCAAATTCAATTGTACAAGTGTGTGCACTATATAAACACATTAACGAGATGATATGTTCTCTATCGTAATGCAACACGAGAAATATACAAAGTAGTAAATATATATTTATATATATACTCCTTAAAAAGAAACCCATCCCTCGGGATTTTGACTTCACGGCTCTCCTTCCTCATCCTCTCATGAGAGTGGAGATCCATGGGACACGCTGCTGAAAAGGTCAAGAAGGAGTGGCACGTCTCAAGTCTCTCTGAATGGCCGCAGGGGGCCCACGCAGGGGATTGTGGGAGTCGTAGTCCATTTCACACAGCTGCTCCTCATATTTCATCTCTCCTACAGCTCACACCGGCAGCCAGAAGGGTTAAACACGGGCCTGTGTGTTCTTACACTGCAGTAAATGACGGTGAGTGAAATCATCTCAATTCTGGTTAATATATCTAACATTTCTGTTGTAAGAATGTTATAAGACTGTTCAGGATGTTTCTAGCAGGGGTGCAATGGTACAGTGGGCCCACGGTTCGGTATGAATCACGATTTTTGGGCTACAGTAATGGTATGGGTTCATTATCTTTATATTTAAAAAAAAAACATATCACCTTTTAAACAGTGAATTATTTTGCCTATAGACAAAACTTTCCATTCAGAAAAGTGGCAGCATGACTGACTGGGCCTGGTTTTTTCCCTCTACTGTATGAAATTAAGAGAAGAAAAACATTAATATTAGAAGTGTTCATTAGCTGTGCCTTCTCTATTTTAAATAATTAAGACAGATAATATGTCTGTGCCAATTCGTTTTCACTTTCCGTGATGTTTCATAGAGTTCGGGAATTACTTTGCTGCTCAAATGTGTGCGGGACACTGTAAAGGCCACCACACACCGGATGCGCTGCGACGTGTATCGTCCCAATCTTTCTCCCCAATTTAGTCCTCCTGTTCCACCCACTAATTAAGACTCCCCCCCATCACACGATACCACCAGCGCTCGGAGGGCGAAGGCTAACACAAGCCTCCTCAGAGACTGCCGCTAACGCAACATCA